CGGCACCTTACTGTTTGCATGCAGTGATTCCTGTACTGACTCCGTCTCCTGAAACTCCTCTCAGCACCTATGTCGTTAAGAAGGCAGTCTCTGTGAAATGTCACACAGCAGTGATTGACAAGGCATAGTGATTGTGAAGTTCCCCACTCATTAACTACCTTACATTCTGCAAAGTACACTTTAAAAACATCAGTCTCATCAAGATTAATAGGCTAGCAAAAATTGAAATTGTGGAAACGAATATAAACTTTGGGCATAGATACACCAAACTGGTTTAGTGAAGAATCGGACAAAATGTCCACAAAAATCTTGACGAGCACACCGTGCCCTGAGGATGTTGCTTTTACGCTCCCACCATGAGGAGGATCCGCTATCAGATTTTGGTTAGGTTAATATAAACCCTTTTGGAGTGCCCCACTTCCTTTCATCTCAGGAGGTCACTGTCCTGGTCTTGTGTGTTATGGTGCTGAATATTCACACAAAATCAGGGTCTCGTTTACTGAAGATAAACCTTATTAATGTGCTTTGTTCTATCATTTCTGGAATCCATTTAAGATCTTTGCATACAGTGATCTATTTCCTCATCAGAAGATGCTCTTGTTCACCTTTCCATTCACCAACAATCTGAGCAGTTTGTGTTCTTTGGGTTAGTGGTCAGTTTACAGTAGATAAATCATTCTGGATTCAATTGTCATTTCATCCAAACTATTTGTCTGTACAGCAGAGATCTTTTGATATATGGAAGGCTTTCTTTCAGAACTGAATAGTTCTGTAATTAATGAATCCAAATTCTGTCACTGCCAGGCCTTAACAGAGCTCCAGGAGGATCTTTCAAGCCCTCTTGTCAGCCAAACATTGTATGTAGTTACTTGATTACCTGATGATATCCTTGACTGACTGTTTTAGATTGCGCAGTACATAATCATGGTCAGGCATGCATGGGTCATTTTTTGAGAACTGACTGGCATTCTGATCATGCATGCACATAATTTGCCAATCTTATATTTTCTCTAAAGCCAGATTCCCACAGTTTCTAAAAGGGGGTGCATAGTAAGTGTTTTTTTTTCAGTGCCTGAAAAGCGCCCTCCAATTGTCGGGTAGGGAACGGTGTACTGAGTAGAACCTGAGTCTACTTTCCTGTTAACTGGTTATCCTATAATGATATGAATTTGTTTGCATTCACCTAGGACTCATTCGCAAAGGTACAGAGCCACATACAGTGTGACCCTGTACAGTGTTTGTTTTTTTTTTTTTTGTTTTTGGTCTAACAAGGAGCTGCATGCAGGCAGTCTACTGCTGTAAAGATATATATCTGCACAGTACAGGGAGAGATGCATGAACCCGCTAGTCACAGTAGGGACAAACACTGCGTTTATATTTTCTGATACTTTTAAAATAGCAGCACCCATTACAAAGGGAAGTACTAGGTTCATAGGGAATATAGTGATGTGGACCAATTAAATTTGTACCCTGTGTAGTGGACAAAGTTCTTGACAATACGTAACCGCTCAGCTATGTTGTGGGTCAGACAGGTATTACAACATGTCATTGCCGTACAAGGAGACTCTTTCCTAGGCAGTGTAATCTTAGTTCATTCTATATTGCTCCCAGGAAAATCTTGCCAGTAAAGATCAAATATCTTTAAAGGCAAAAACCTTGTTTTGGGTAGAGTAGAAATGAGGTAGAACCCCTGTTGGGTTTCCATTTTGTTACATAGTTGGTCTGGCTGAAAAAAAGACAAACGTCCATCCAGTTCAACCATAAAAAAAAAAGTGATAATCCTACACCCACAGTTGATCCAGAGGAAGGCAAACCCAGCAAAGCATGATCCAGTTTGCTCCTGCATTGGAAAAAATTCCTTCCTGATCCCCCAAGAGGCAATCGGATATTCCCTGGATCAGCTTTACCTATAAATAGTAACCAGTTATATTCTGTATCCAAAAAAGAATCCAGGCCCTTGTTGTTTTTTTTTTTTTTTTTTTTTTTTTTTTTTTTTCTAAAGCAACCCACTGAGTGGGCCAGAACCAACTCTATCAGTTTGGTTGCCCCTCTCTGTACTTTCTCCAGTTCCCCAATGTTCTTTTTGTGACTTGGTGCCCAAAACTGAACTGCATATTCCAGATGAGGTCTTGCCAATGATTTGTACAGAGGTAATAGCACTCTCTGGAGTCTATACCTCTATTATTACAAGAGAGGATTTTGCTCGCTTTAGAAACCGCAGCTTGGCATTGCATGCCATTATTAAGCTTGTGATCTACCAGAACTCCCAGATCCTTCTCCACCATTGATTCCCCCAGTTGTACCCCCCCTAGTATGTATGATGCATGGATATTCTTAGCCCCCAAGTGCATCACCTTACATTTATCAACATTAAACCTCATTTGCCACATAGTTGCCCAATTAAACAGTGCATTGAGGTCGGCTTGTAAATTGGAGACATCCTGTAAGGACGTTATTCCACTGCACAGCTTGGTGTCATCTGCAAAGACTGAAATGGGATTTTTAATCCCAGACCTTATATCATTTATAAATATATTTAGTAAGGGTCCCAACACTGAACCCCGGGGTACACCACTGACAACCCTAGACCATTCAGAGTATGAATCATTAACCATTAGTTCTAATCTTTGAATGCGATCTTTTAGCCAGTTTTCTATCCATTTTATATACAGATTTTTCCAAGCCCATAGACTTTACCTTACACATTAGCCATGTGTGGGGAACTGTGTCAAACGCTTTTGCAAAATCCAAGTATATCACATCCACCGCCACTCCTCTGTCCAAGGTTTTGCTCACCCCCTCATAAAAAGAAATCAGATTTGTTTGACAACTTCTGTCTTTCATGAATCCATGCTGTCTGTTGCTTAAAATATTTTTTTCCAGCAAGAACTCATCTATGTGGTCTTTTTATTAAACTCTCCAGTATCTTCCCAACTATAGAAGTTAAACTAAAGTCTAGAATTACTTGGTAAAGATTTTGACCCCTTTTTAAATATTGGCACTACATTGGCCTTCTGCCAATCCAGTGGTACTATGCCAGTCAATAAAGTCCTAAAAATTCTTAAAGTAGAAACAATGGCTTTGAAATGAGAGCTCAATTCTTTAAGGGCCCGTAGGTTTATGCCATCCGGTCCAGGTGCTTTATTCACCTTTTTATTGTCTAAATATTTTTGGATCATATCAATTGTGAGCCAACGTGGATCATCTGGAGCTGTGTCAATACCATGCCCATTATGGACAAGAGCTCCCCCATGCTCCATTGTATACACAGAGATGAAGGGATTTAATAAATTTGTCTTCTCTTTGTCCCCAGTCACCCACTCTAGATTATTTTGTAAAGGGCCTACATGCTCAGACCGAACCTTTTTTACTATTAATATCTTTAATGTATTTTTCAAAAAAGTTGCATGTATAGTAGCTTACAGTGAATCTCCTTACTTTGTAAAGAGGAAAAAGGAAATCATCCTGCAATAGAGTAAGATATGACAAACCTACTATCAATATGCCTCATGTGATATAAATCTAGAAGTCTCCTTAGGAGCACTTATATTCCCAGCTAAAGGAGTCAACTGCGCGAGTATATAAATCGCAGATTGTTACTATCAGTTGAAAACCAAGACGAGAAAATCAAAACCTGACTTTGGTTATTAGACTATATGTAGAGATAGGAGACTGTCTGTCTGCAGCAAAAGCTGTACAACCAAATTTATAAAGGAAGAGGAAAAAAGAAACAAGGTAGATTAAGATAGTCAGAAGGGGGGGGGGGGGGGGAAATGTGAATGTATCCTTCCAGACAGTCCCGGGTATCCCAAGGTGGTTTAATAAGGCATTAAAGAGGTATCTGTACAGGTGAGACTGGGATTCAGGGGCACCAAATCTTATTAAATTTAGAGATTGTATTGTGAAGTTGAACTGTCAAGTATTCCATTTTATGAACATCATGAATACATTTGTGGAGATTAGTTTATTAGAGTGACAGTTGAGTTCTAATGCTTTTTTTCCCTGTTAAGGAGATCCAACCTCTATTTGTCCTATTGACTGCTGTCACTGGGATAGAAATGAGGGAATATCAATTTGGAGTTGTCACCAGAAGAGGAACACAGGGGAAATCGTCCAATGCAATCACTTGTCTTAGAAGGCTGTCTAAGAGGGGACTTGCCTGTCTTTGGAGAGATTTCATCCTGCTTCCTGTGGTGTTTTGCAGGAAGTGAAGGAAAATCTCTTCAATGGGAAACAAATTACCAAAAATGTAAAACTGACAGATGTTTTAACCATTTCCTGTTTTAAACATTCCCTATTCTATCTGAAATTAAAGTTTTTTTTTGTTTTTTTTTTTTTTTTTTTTGGGCTTTAAATACACAAGATTTTGTAATAAGGTAGATTACGGCATTCACGAAGAGAGAACTTGGCTTTGGCTGCATCCTCCTACCTTTTTTAGAGGCTGATAGTAACTGAATTCTTTGAATGTCAGTGTGACTTGGCAAGTGGCCATTCTGTTTCTAGCTCATTATGATGGAGGACTTGCTTCCTAAAAAGGGAAACACTGGGCCTCATTTATACAAGTGTAGGAAAAGAAGAGAGGAGTTGGCCATGTTTATCCAATTAGATTTCAGGTTTTAATAAAAAGAGCTGGTTGCTGGGGGTCATCACACTGATGCTAGATATCCGATCCGATTTCTAATATAAAGCTTTAAGAAAGGAAAAATTGTTTTCACAAAACACCCTAACGAGCACATTGTTTTTACATGGTATTTAGATGAGGTGAGTGCATGTATTTAGAGACCTTGTCACCAACTTCAATTGTAGATAAGTGTTTTTAAATGCTAGCTTGTATTTTTCCTTTTCTTTAACCACCTCCCGCCCGCCATATAGTCCAATGACTGGTGCAATGTGGTTCTCTTATTCTGGGAGGACGTCATATGACGTCGACCTATTCTCACCGCGCATGCGCGGCTCAGGGAGCGCGTGGCGATCGGTGGTGCGCTGTCCCTCGGACACAGCGGATCATTAAAAGAGCCGAAGATGTCGGCTCAGTCATGTGATCAGCTGTGTCCAATCACAGCTGATCACATGTAAACAGGGAAATGCCGGTTATCGGAATTTCTCTCCTTGAGCTGTCACGCTGACAGCTCGAGAGGAGAGCCGGTAATCTGCTTTCCGCGGAGGGACATCTACACTGATCATCAGGGCAGTGGTGATCAATGTGCCCTGATGATCAGTGTAGCCCCAGCAGTGCCTTGTGCCAGTGCCACATCAATGCCAAATATCAGTGCCTACCAGTGCACATCAGTGCCAAATATCAGTGCCCATCTGAGCTGCCTTTCAGTGCCGCCTATCAGTGCCATGTATCAGTGCTGCCTTTCAGTAATGCTTGTCAATGCCCATCAGTGCCACCTACCAGTGCCTCCTCATCAGTGCCACCTATCAGTGTCCATCAGTGCAGCCTATCATTGCCCACCACTGCAGTCTCATTAGCGTATATCAGTGAAGGAGAAAAATCACTTATTTACAATTTTATAACAAAAACTAAGAAAAAAAAAACGTGTGGGGGGGGTTTTTTTTGTTTTTCCAAAAATTTAGTGGTTTTTGGTTTAAGAAAAAAAAAATCCAGAAGTGATACCACCAAAAGAAAGCTCTATCTGTCACAAAAAAATGATAAAAATTTCATGTGTACAGTGTTGTATGACTGCGCAATTGTCATTCAAAGTGTGACAGCGCTGGAAATTGGCCTGGACAGGAAGGGGGTATAAGTGCCCGGTAGGCAAGTGGTTAAACTATATTGATATGCAATGGGGCTATGAAATTGCTAGCCAGATATAACTACTTCAGGTTATCTTCTTAAACAGCCCTATCACCCCCTGCACATCACAGTCCTATATTCTCCTGGGAGTGTCCAATTACTGTCTGTTGGTCTAGCGCTCCTGTCTCTTCCCTCACCTCCCTACAAAACCTTTTTATATTGTTTCTGGGGGAGGAGTAAAGGGAAATACTAGAGGGAGCAATCCCCTGAGGCTGCTGGCATCACGTCCAAGGTGGCAGTAGTCTTGGGGCTATTGGATGACTTTAACATTAACCACTTGCCTACCGGGCACTTTTACCCCCTTCCTGACCAGACCAATTTTCAGTTTCATTTCAATGCTCATACAATTGCGCGGTCATGCAACGCTGTACCCAGCTGCAAGTGTACAATCCAAACGCACACGTTCCTGAATTAAAAATGGCTGTGTGTATAAGTGGGTGCTGCAGCGACCGTCAGCTGGAACCGAACAGAATCGGCAAGGGAAAATGTCACTAGCACACCGAGGATCACCAATATGGGTCCAAAAGTTTTAATGAACACTCATAGTTACAGCAAGGCAACGTTTCGGAGTCTCACAGGACCCCTTCATCAGGCATATGACAAATTGTGACAAACTGCAGAACTTTTTTAGAAAACCATCCACCAATCAGAGTGAAGTGAAATGAGCTTGGCCCCGCCCCATGATGTCATGTTCCTTCCAAAAATGCATTCAAATCAATGTAAACAAACATTACAAACTGCGAAAATAAAACCATCAGATGTACATAAACTGCATTCCCGGGGATATAGACATTGTGGTCACGTGTATCCTGGTACTCCCCGGATTGTAATAGTGTCAGCTGAAAGCAGCGCTGGATTCTGGAAACAATGACCAGTAGCATATATGTCCCTGACAGAAGATAGACTTGCCTAGAGATGGGGGGGGGTGTCTCCGATTGCCAAGTGAGCTGCAATGGGGACACACCTACAGTGGTCCTATTAGTGCAGTGGCCGACAGTTTCATGGCGACGCATGTCACCTGCATGCACCATGCAGGATCCATATTGGTGATCCTCGCTGTGCTGGTGACAATTTTCCCTTGCTGTACCCAGCTGGTCACATGGTAAAACAGCAGTTTGGCCTGTTCTGTAGTCATGTGATCAGCTGTGCCTGAAGGACATTCAGACTCCCTCCCAGAACTAGCCGACCGCGCAGTTTTTTGGCTATAGCACAGTTGGGAACTGGTTAAAGGGTTAGTTCCCTGTTAGACAAAATTGTCCTGTACTGATTCTTGGGGTTGCTGATCTATGAGCACCCCGGCAGCAGGTCTGGGGATTTGGGACATCCCCTGCTCTTCTCAGTGTGTTCGTTCCAGGAAGGGCCAGGGTGATTCACTGTGACAGTGCTGACCAATCAGAATATATCTGGTCCATCATGGAAGCGCTGACTGGAGTAGAACAGGGTACTTCAGGTTCCAAGATCGCTACACCAGCTGTCGGCTCAGCAATCCTGGAGGCAAGTACAGTGTTCACTTTTTTACATCTTTCTGTAAAGGTGAACTAACACTTTAAATATCTGTGTGTGTATGTGTGTATATATATATATATATATATATATATATATATATATATATATATATATATATATATATATATATATATATATATATATATATATATATATATATTTATTTTCTCATATGCGCTTCCTTTTGTTTACCTGAGTGGTCTTTACAATCCTTTTTTTTGTTTTGTAAGAACATACAGTTGTGGGGCTGTCCAATTTGTAGATGCTGGTGGTCTCTGATTTCCTAACTAGCAGTGTGTGGGGGTTTTTTTTTTTTTTTTTTTTCTTCAGAGGCCTTTAGTGGTAGGTATCAGATTTTGTTGCAGGTTTTTAAACACTTTACATGAAACAGCTTAAAGTAAATCTTGTCATTTATTTGGGGAAAAAAGCCTAAAGGGAAACGAGTCCCACTTTATACACCAGCCTGAGCTACAGAGATGACACAGCTTTCTTAGACAACACTAAGGCTGCAGTTTTCTCCTCATGGACCATGAGTGATGCTGGAATTTCCTTGTGGATTGCCGGATGCTGACTGGTCTGACTCCAGAGCGTGTTAATGTCCACAGCTGTGATTGGCTAGACCCTGCTGCAGTGTGAATGCAGAGTCAGAGCAGCCGGCTTCAGTATTTTTGGTGTGAGCATTTGCAGAGTGAGGGCAAACCAGACTCCAGGTGTTTAAACTGTCTTGCATGATGCTGGCTGCACAGCTACATTCCTGCTCCTAATTCCAGTGTTACATTTCTTTTTTGCTGTGTCATACAAGCAGAGAATCAGCCAGGTGTTTAAAGGGTGTGTTTTTGGAGGTTTCATTCCTCAGTCTGCACATTTCTTAATTTGCCAACGAAAGGAAGGATGCTGAAATCAGTCTGGGAGTTCTTAGGCACATATATTCCCTGGATAGCCTGCAAGGGCTCTGACGGTGATCATGTAAATGGTCCCTCTATTACGGAGGGGACAGATGTGAAGGAACAGAGTGATGCTGATGAGGGCCAGATTGTCCTGATGGTGGTGGCGCCCTGGAAGGAACTGCAGCAGGTAAAGTTTTCTTGTCAGTGAACCATCAAAGCATGTCAGTGGATGTCACTCAGCAGAGGAATATGGAAACGCACAAGACTGCAAAACTGAGTGACTTTGAACTGGGAATGGAATTAATGCTGGGCGTGTAACTGCTGCCTCTCTAGTTGTTGCCGTATATTGGGAGAGGGCTTTCAGTTTTAGTTCATTGACCACACTGAAAGGGCTCGGAAATTAAAGGGAAATTGCAGAAATTAAAGGCAACGTGTCATAAGCTGCTGGTACCAATGCCAGAGGGGTTAGTATGAAAATCGCTGACCTAGAACAAGGATGTAGTTCCAGACTTCTGACTTCCCTGGCTGCACACTTGTTCGTTTTGTCACTCATTGAAGCAGTACTAGTACTTTTTTTTTTTTTTTTTTTTCTTCAGATTTTTACTGTTGCCATTCTACACATTTCTCATTATTTTCCCCATTTTTAGTTATTGGCCTTTCATGTCTAAAAGTTATATGCAGTAATTCTTAAAACATGCCATATTCGCTATACAGGGGCTGGACAGACCTAATGAGAGCCAGGCAAATTGCTTTTCTATGCCTTCTGATACTAATGGGTGTATGTATTTGTTGTCTATATTCTGCTGCAGTATACTCTCCTAATTGCCGCCCATAGCTATCCTTGTATTGCATTAAATATTAACATAGGACTCTGCCAGGACAAGTCGCTTCCTCACATTTCTGTCCTGCAGTTTTTGTGCTTGTATTACATCCATGCAACATGTGCATAGCTTGCATTGTCAACTTTCACATTTTATATGGCAACTAAGATGACTCAAGTACACATTTATATAAATAGCTTTTTTGCAGTTTATTTTGGGAAACTTGTAGCTGTTTGATTCATTCTGAACAAGATCACATTTGACTTGATTCACTGCCATTAAGCCTAAATGAATGTGACACCTTTCAGAGGTGAGTGTCGGGTGAGCAGTTACTGAGCTACAATTGGAGCACAAGGACTGTCACTGGTTAGTCCTGGATTCTGAGCCGGCAGATACTGATGGAGCTGCTGGTGAATGGGCTTCCTACCTGGATGGTTGAGAATTTTTAGTGGGGCTTCTGTCAGTGAATTTGCTTAACCATTAGAAAAACTAATCTATGGCTCATTAGATATATTTATCAATATTCTTTATTCAAATACATTTATCTGTCACTGCCTGCATTCTGTTTTTGGGTCAGTGACAAAAAATCTTGATCAATGGCAGTAAGCATTTTTAGAACACGGTCAGACGTGGCAGGCCTTTTTTAATGGTGGTTTGGTTAATTTTTGCATTGAGATAAAGAAGTATTTTGTCATTTTTATTGAGACATTCTTTGATCAATGTCAGAATGTACCAGGGAGTGTCAGATTGTTGGCCAAGCATCTATGTTCTGCCATAGCTTTGAACATTCCGGGTAGCAGCATTGATGCAATACTCAGGACAAACTCACGTGGACCTCCGTGGCTGTGGATCTGATCTCTTATCTATCATCTGACTAATCTTCATTAGCTTGCATCACAGAGGCTTTATCTCCTAATTATTAACTAGCCTTGTGTCGCATGACTTGCAGTCTGTTCCAGTTCTTATAGAAGGTCCTTGTATTTAGATTACTTGCTGTGATGGGTCTGGTTCCAGATTGGTTAATGGTTCTTTCACCCCCTATTACCTGCAGTTTGTTGCACATTTAAAACAAACCTCAGGCCTTCTTATACAATAACAGCTGTCCCAAACATGTCAACCACATATGCATATTCTCTGGACTAAGGGAAGTTTAGACCTGTGGCTGCCACTCTGAAAAGGGAACTGTGATGGATTGCTTTTTAGAGGCTTGACAATTAGCAAGGAAGTGATGTCACCACCTGATTGCCTGTTTTAACCCTGTAAATGCTGTGCCACAGCCCTAATTGCGTGAGTTGCAGCCAGTTGTGTTGCAGAATATAACGGGATCATCTTTGCTGCAAAGCAGGATGGGGGATGTACATGTGCTGCTTTGCAGGTATGGCAAAAGATCCCCCTGTAGCATTTGGTACTGCTGACAAATGCAACCCATTCAAGCAAATTTGGCCAACAGCACAATGATTATCATTTATGGGATTAAAAAAGGCAGGTGAGGTGACATATCATAAAAATGTAACGCTTTCAGAGGTGCAGCATTAACAACCATACATCTAAAGGTAGCTTTTTTTTTTTCAGTAACGGAATACCAAGATAAATAGTAAAAGCAGGAACCCCGTGCTTGCAAACAAATAATTTTTTTGGCCGGGTAAGTATGGTTGGGTGGAGGGGGGTGGGCCTGCGGTCTTCTCCAGTGGGCCAGCTTTTGTGGGACTGTGCAAGGAGTTTTGGGGGATTCTTTGCCCAGGAGAGGTGTGCATTAGACGGCTATGCCTTGACTCCAGGGGGGAGGGGTCCTGGGACACTGGGCTGGGCTCCACTCTGTGGGGCAGGAGAGAGGGGCCAGTTAAGGACGCATGGTGGTGGATTGCAGGGCAGTGGGGGCCCGGGCACTAGGACGTGGATTCTGATCGCTGTGACAACCTGGCGCCTGGGATTTGTTGATCCCTTTTATAAGGTACACTTAAGAGAAGTGAAATGAGGGAAATAAGAGTAAAAAGTCAAAAGTACGGAAAGAGATGTCCCACCTCTTCATCTGTTTTGCGAGTCCAGCTTACATTATGCATTATTCTGAGATGTAAAGTAACCAAGGTTCCTTTTTTTTTTTTAATTTTTTTTTTAATTTTTTCCCAAATAGACATTTTTTGTTATTTAACAAACATCACCAAACAGCCTCCCATAAAGTCCAGTGAATATTCATGATCAGACACACAGGAGATGGTCAGTCTGTGGACATACTATAGGAGAAGTTCTAGACTGAGGACATGCTTCAGGGGATGATTCTAAACTCAGTGACATTACATGAGGCTGCTAGAAATTACTGCAATAATAGGGCAAAGTGGAAATGCAGATTGGTGTCTGCAAAGGCCCCGAGGGCAAATAAAACTACGCCAAAGGGCAGCAGGTTGGGCACCAGGGATCAGTGTAAGTATGCATATATCATACCTGTGGGATCCCTCTGGAAGTTGGAAATCACTGTAGTGAGCACTGCTACTAGTGAACCCTGCTTAGCAGAGTTGTTCAGAGAATGCTTGTCATTTTTTTCAATGAATTCAAAGTATTCTCTAATTGGATGAGGTGGAGAGCATTCATTGAGAGAATGCAAAACATTCTCTGGTTCATAAAGCAGCAGAGAAGACGCTTGGCATGGCACCTGCAAGCAAGTGGAGATTGTTGGAATAGCAGTGCCTACTACAGTGATATCTAGTCTCTAGAAGGGATCCCACAGGTATGGTATTTGAAGGTATGGCTTTTTTCCCATACTTGCAATGGTCCAAGTTGGACCAATGCATGTTAAAAAGCCATACCTGGATTTTTTCCAAGTAAGTTTGAATCAAGTAAAAGATGCTGCTACTGCTTTCTTTCAATACTTTTAGGAAGCCTGATGCATCATTGTGAGTTGTACTTGAAATTGGCTGGCTGCTACTGCAGAGAAATGACATTAGTAGGACAGATGATGAAACCAACCAATGCTACCTGAACTGACCTTTAATTGTGTTAAGTGATTTAGCAGCCCCAATACCCTGCTTTTTAATTACACAAGAGCATTTCTTTACTTGCACTGCGGTCCTCAGGCTATTTCCGGGGGTACTGAGAATGGCTTCTTAAGCTGATTGTATGTACTTGAATCTGTTTAAGCCAATAATGTTCTAAATGTACAGTTTGGACTTGCAAAGCAGTAAAGCATAATTGTAGTAAGCTGCTACTTTCCTACTTCTGGGAGTTTCCACCACTGGCAAAATGGGAGATTCTTCCTTACTGGAAGTTGGGGAGGGGGGAGGTTTTTAGCTTGGGCTTCCCTATGGACTTCAACCAAGATGGGATGCTGGAAAGCCCCCCTTTCCAGTAAAATATAGGCTTTTCCCTTTTAAACACAGTAAGTCCCCTACTTGCTAAGGAGTTCCATTCCGGGACCTCATTAATTCCAACAAAGATCAGAGCTTGAGGAGATGGCTGCTGATCAGTGTGAATCCCCCTATTAGAACACAAAGGCACATTGTGGGAAATTGCTGCACCAACATTGCTTGTGGTAGTACTGCAATCTGTTTTGCATCACATTTTCTGATCTGTGGGGGTGCCTTAACAATGGCACCACTGCACATCTTCTAAAGAGAAGAGCATTACGCCTGTGGGTTGGGAACACACAATTAGGCATGTGTTCTGACCCACACATATGAGAACCTAGCCTAAAGGGATGCAGACACTGCAACTTGTATCAGAACCCTGAAAGTGCATCAGCTGATTAATATTAGTCACTCGTTCAGAATCCATTTTTTTTCTTCAGAACATGGGTAGATCTTTTTAACAAAGTTTTGTTTAAAATCCTTGCAATGTATATTGATCACCCAGAGGGGATTGTTTTTTGATCAACAAAACTGGAATTGCTCTTTAAAGCATGCAGCACACCTAGTCCATTACAAAGCCTTGCTTCTGAAACTTGCCTGCCAAAACCTGTTTGTCCCACAAGTATTTGCCGTGATCCTGTTCATTTTATGGAGAACCATACTACGCAGGACCATAGAAGTCCACCATGAGTTTGGTTCCTCACAGAAGTGAATGGGGTCGTGGTGAGTACACGCAAGATGAAGAGATTCCGGCTGGGGATCTCCTGAAATTTAAGGGTTTGTGGCTCCAGGCAGGACCACACAGTGAAGATCATTGAAACAGGAGTTGTAATTCTTGTCCATTTGGGCTGTCTTCAGGGGGTGAGAGCATGTCAAACAATTGGTTCCTAGGATACCATTGTCCTTTAGGCTGAATTCACACTAGTGTTTTGTAGCTTGAGGCTTGAAGCCCCAAAAAAGCTCAAACTTAAAAAAAATCAGTTCTCTATGGTTCCTGTTCACATGATCAGGTGTGAACACACCATAGAGAACAATTGATCTTTTATGTTTGAGCTTTGTTGGAGCTTAGAGCTTCAAGCTACAAAACGCTCACATGTGAATGCAGTCTTAGAACAGTTTCATACAAGGCTCATACATATTAAAAGCAAAAAACAAAATCCGCATATTAAATGATTGTTTAACCGCTAGCCTACAGGGCACTTATACCCCCTTCCTGCCCAGGCCAATTTCCAACTTTCAGCGCTGTTGCACTTTGAATGAAAATTGCGCGGTCATGCAACATTGTACCCATATGAAATTTGTATCATTTTTTTTTGAGGCAGAGCTTTATTTTGGTGGTATTTAATCACAGCTGGGTTTTTTTTATTTTTTCTTATACAAACCAAAAACCACTGAAAATTTAGAAAAAAGTTTTTTCTTTTGTTATAAAATTTTGTAAATAAGTGATTTTTCCTCCTTCACTGATATGCACTAATGAGGCTGCAGTGATGGGCACTGATAGGATGCACTGATGAGGAGGCACTGGTAGGTGGCACTGATGGGCATTGACAGGCATCACTGATAGGCACTGGCACGAGGCGCTGCTGGGGCTACACTGATCATCCGTGCCCTGATGATCTGTGTACATGTCCCTCCGTGGAAAGCAGATTACTGGCTCTCCTCTGTCAGCGTGACAGCTCGAGAGGAGAGAAATGCCGATAAGCGGCATTTCCCTGTTTACATGTGATCAGCTGTGATTGGACACAGCTGATCACATGACCGAGCCGACATCTTCGGCTCTTTTTGTGTTCGGTGATCCGCTGTGTCCAAGGGACACCGCGTACCGCCGATCGCCGCGCTGCGCGCTCCCTGAGCCGCACATGTGCGGTGAGAATGGGAGGACGTCATAACGTCCTCCCAGAACAAGAGAACCAGCTTGCGTCCGTCATATTACTATATGGCAGCTGAGAGGTGGTTAATCCATCAATTTACTTTAATAAAAATCTGTTGGGTTTGCCCTGTTTAATTCAGGTCATTGCTTCACTCGCCCCTTTTTCTGGCAGTGGCCATCTTAACTGAGGGAAACTGAAGCTAGTCCTTGTTTTGGGGAACCTCAATACTAAGTCGGTGAACGCAAGACATAAATATACTGAATAAACTTTTCTGACAATAGAGGAATGCATGCAACAACATATTCGTGTTTGCATTTAGATGTACTTTAATAATGGGAGGTGTTGTTTCCTTTGTGCAGCCTTTTTTATTTTTAATATGCCTTTAAAACTTGTAGTACCTTGCTTTTTTGACTTTGTGGGATTTACTAGACCAAGATAATACTTTTAATTGGAGTTTATTTGACTTATTGGTGCAGGTAATTTTTATATATGTTGTATTTGAGCATTTCTATATGTAAACAAGTGTCAGGTCATAACATTGTGATACTGAATATATGTAACATTGTAAGGAATGCACCTTGTGATGTGTTCTATGATTCTTGTCACTAGGGGGTCATCTCTCACTTTGCCCTGATATCATTGTCAGCTGTTGTCCCATAGCAGCCCTCAAGGGACTTGTGTGTTTGAGGCTGGAGAATCCTTTGTCTCTGGGATTGGCTGGCCTTTTGGAGGCTGGTTCTGCCAGTCAAGCTGACTTCAATGGGAGGGGGCTGGTCTGTATCAGCCAATAGCAGCTGAGCACAGGCACCTAAGTCTTGCAACCTGCCGGCTTCAGCATTTATTGTAGAGAGCGTGGAGCTGCACAGGAGTCCGGAGCTGACGTAGGTGTAGGCATCGCCAAGATGCTCTGTCTGTGCTTGTACGTGCCCATGCTGGATCAGTCCCAGGCAGAGTTTCAGTACTTTGAGTCGGATGGATTACCTTCAGAGCTGAAGTCCATTTTCAGGCTAAGCCTTTTTATTCCATCTCAGGAATTTTCAATTTACAGGCAGTGGAGACAGGTGAGCTTATGGCTGCTTTACGCTGGGTGTCATTTGACTGTGTACTCATGTAGTGAATGGTGCAATAGTGAATTTATCTTTTTTGTAGCGTTTTAAAGCAGAAATGGAAAAACCCAAGTCCTTTACTTGTGTCTTTTTGTATTTCTGAAAAGATTGTATGCAACTGCTATAGATCAATTGCTTTAAAGTGTAAACTTTTTTTTTTTTTTTTTTTTTTTTTTTTAATATAAACTTCACAACCAGCTAAATGATCCTGTAAACTATTTTTAATACAGTGGTAGCTTTTTTTTTTTTTTTTTTTTTTTTGGTTGACAATGCATTCTGCAATCAGGCTTTGGCATAGTAAACCGGTAGACTGGACAGTGGTGATACATTTACTTTGCATGCGATTATTTGTAATAGGACTGTACATAACATTCTAACATTCTTGATCAGTTTGTAGCCAAGTGTGTGTGCGTTGTGCTTTTATTTATTTATTTTTTGGCATTTTGTTACATGATCAATAGCGCTCCCCATAGGAATACCTGAAGTTTTTACTGCAACAGTTGCTACTAGTGAATGGGGGAAGGGTTGTGCTAGTCTGGTAAATGATCAGGAATTTATTGGTTCCTAAATATAAGAAATCAGTTTTATCAAGTAACACCTGATTTTGGTCAGTGGTTTCATTTGCACTCTTTAACTTGGACTTGATTTCCTTTTAATTGTGTGCAAATGTTATACAATTTGCTGAGGCTAATACAAAAGCTAAAACACTGCATCAGATCTTTGAATATGCTAAAACCCTGTAATGATAGGATGAATTATAGCTGGGGTGTATATCGCCCATTGAGATTCTAACCCCAGATGTACTACTTTTTTTTTTTTTTTTTTTTTTTTTTTTTTTTTTTTTTTACTCATCAGTTTCTATAGTTTCTGTGATCACATTTTATTTTTGATTTATTACAGGTAGTTATATAGTGCTGTCAATTTATGCAGCTCTTTACATATATATTGTACATTCACATCAGTCCCTAACCCTCAAGGGGCGTACAATCTAAGGTCACTAAGTTATATTCATACATACACATACTAGGGCCAATTTAGACAAGTAGCAATTAACCTATCAGCATGTGGGAGGAAATAGAAGTACCCGGAGGAAACCCGCACAGGGAGAACATGCAAACTCCAGGCTGGTGGTGCCTGGAGGTGATCACATGCTTTACAATTGTTATCGGCAACCAGAAAGTCTGCAGATATTTTTTTCCAGCTCTGGAGTCTGTACTTCCTATTTTGCTAGAATTGGAAAAGCTCTGGAAAGCTTGTATATTGGGACTTATCACTTACCTGGCCTCTGGCCATTTTCTTTTCCTAGTCTACCTAGTGTTTCATTTTTGTATGTGTAAAATGTTCAGTGTCTCTGGCATGTGTTTGACATGTACTAGTTAAGGTTATTTATGAATCTCTAATATTCTCACCATGCATGACTATAGAGCTCAAGGTATACGATGTGCCCCCTGACCAGCATGTAATGTCACACACCCTGCTATCTTTAGCTGTCAGCACTCCTTGTCCTCTGAGGGAGTCCTGTGACTGCAGCTCAGACAGTTTACAAAGGTCACTGTAAATCTCTCTGCTGATCTCATTCATCCTCTGGTGGCATTCCAATTGCTGCCCAGTAACCCATCAACTGCTTGTCCACGCTGTGTACAATGGCTTCTCACCTAGTCAGGTAAACCCATGCAATGTCCAGTTTTGAGACATGTTATGAGACCTATTATACGAGACAAACGGTTTCCATCTGTTATAATTTACCCAACCTGTTAGTTTGCATAATATTATATGTTGTCTTCCCTGAGGGGTGTTCTGTTCCTGTAATGTCCAAGATGAGTTCTGTTTGTAGACTGTTTCTGTAAAGTGGCAGCCTATGCTATTTCCAGTTCTATCCTGCACTTTCCAGAGGCAGCAGAATGTCGGTTTGATGATCATACAGAATGACGGTGCAAATCTGTGCTTTTTCTTTCATAACAGAAAATAGTGAAAGCTGGAGATAAGGACCAGGATGGGCAACTGGACTTTGAGGAGTTTGTGCACTACCTTCGTGACCATGAGAAGAAGCTCAGATTGGTTTTTCGCAGTCTGGATAAAAAGAATGATGGTTAGTATTGCCCACGTGTCTTACCTAGGGAGCAACAGAATAGTGAGATGGCTTGTAGCTGCTTCTCTAGGCTTACTTGCCAAGTAGTTATCCTCCTTTTTTATACGTAGTCAATTTTGAATGTGTGCAACATAACCAGCCACTGTGACTATGAAATACTGATGGCATCAAAATGTGGTGTAGGATTTTTTGTTATATGCAAGGCTCTTTATAAGGCCAGTTATCTATCGGGCTTACTGGCTGCTGAATTGTACATTTGGCCATCCCAGTTGTGTTAAACTAAATAATGTTTTAAATAAATTGATCTTGGCCAAGCTAAGATGGCATTGCTTTCTGTTTTCTCTGCTCTTTCTTAATAAATTCATTCCATATATTCACGTCGCACAAACTAGTACAAATAGTCTATTCCAACTTTTTATCCATTTGAGAAATGTTGATCACAGTCCGGTGGCAGTTTAAAGTTCCAGTGGCCTCCATTATAGTTCTGGGACAGGACAAGCTATGAATGTCAGTCACTAAGACTTGTGTCAGAGCAAGGCCAAGCTAGTAGACCAGGTCTTCAAACAGGCCAGATGGTTACAGAGGTTAGGATCATTTTGCCATCTACAGGCTCAGGGAAGTGATTCTCTTCCCCCCTCCTCCTTTTTGATCTTAAAATGAATTTTTTTTGTTTTTGTTCCTCTCCTAGGTCGCATAGATGTACAAGAAATAATGCAATCTCTCCGTGACCTTGGTGTGAACATCTCCGAACAACAGGCAGAGAAAATTCTTAAGCGGTGAGCACACAAGATATGGCTCTGTCAACTAAGTCTGTCTTCATGTTCTGTAGTCTGTCCTGTATTGTGCTGTCTCCCCCTTCTTGTGTTTCTCTTCTGGAGGGCCCCCCCCCCCCCCAACCTTTAGCAATAAAGTAATTTAATCCAGTAGTGCCAGAGTTACCCACAAAATACTTTGAGCTGGAGATACTCATGACATACTCTGATGGAACTGCATCTAGGTATTGGTGGGTTTTTTACAGAATTGACCGGGAGTAACTGTTTTATCTGTGCTGTCTTTCCTTTTTGCTTCTGTCTGTGTGGCTGTCAGAATTAGGACGGGCCACCGCTGGGGTCCTGTCACCCAGTAAGTATGTTGTCCTCTTGTAACCTTCCTGCTGTGCTTGTGCATTGTGCATGGTCGCTTGTGTTTTTGTTCTGCAACCACTCTGACTCCATGCAATTGCCTTTTTGTCTTTCAGCATGGATAAAAATGGTACTATGACAATAGACTGGAATGAGTGGAGGGATTACCATCTCTTACATCCTGCCGAGAATATTCCTGAAATCATCCTTTACTGGAAACACTCTACCGTAAGTGCAAATTTAACGACTTCCTGTGTCTTGGCACTGCATGCTTTGATGGAACGAAGTGCTAAAATGCTCTTCATATTGTGAAATTGCATGATGTATGTGCAGCTGAGTACTCTTGGCAGAAGTAGGGCTTGACTATTATAAGGACATCAGTCTGGACAAGAAATTGGGCTTTAGGGTGCAGGAATACAGCATGTCCTATACATAACTGCGTAATCAGTCCAGCTGAGGATACTTTACACACACAAAAAATGGGTTCCCAACTGCTGGTTGCGATCTAATTAACCACTGCTGTGCAGTAACAATCTGGTGTAATCAGGAAAACTGACCTCTGCATGGCATTTTGCAGTTCTTTAGAAACATGGCAATACTTTGGAGAACCTGGCCGCAGGTCCTATGTCTTGTAATAGAAACTTGCTGTATCTTCTTAGTGGGTAAAAACAAAATCTGGCACCAAATTGCATGCTAAGTGTAACTGGTCCCGCTCAGCCTGTACTGGTTAGTTCCACCCCCTACAGCCTGAAGCTTTTGTGCTGCAGCAACCGGATGTGCTTCCCTTCTATATAGCCTTCTGCAAAAAAAATGTAATTGGCAGTCTCAGCTAAAGTACTATTTGAGAGCAGGCATGGATGGCAGCTCTAAAGCTGCCTAGTGTAGAGCATGGTTTATATATACTGGCTGGATAGTGCCAACACTGAGGCCATCACTCTGCTCCCTCTGCAGATCTTTGATGTTGGAGAGAACCTCATTGTGCCTGATGAGTTTACCGTGGAGGAGAAACAAACTGGAATGTGGTGGAGGCATCTTGTGGCTGGTGGTGGAGCTGGCGCTGTGTCACGGACATGTACGGCTCCTCTAGATCGGCTAAAGGTTCTCATGCAGGTAAGTTAGAATTTATGGGGCAATAACACCACATGTGTAGTGATTTGGATGTAGTTGCTTCTTTGTAGGGTGAAATGTTCACTACTGATGCAAGCTCTGTCATAACTTTTCATTACATCTTGTTCTCGAGGGCCAGGAGAATTGTGCAACTGCTGTCAGATAATGGAGCAATGCTGAACTTTGTTCTGCACATTAGGAATGGCATCTGCCACCTTAGCTCACTGTGTGCCATAGCACAGTACAGGTTCTTTTATTGGCATTAAGCTATTTCGGGGTTAAAATTTGTGCCAAAAGGTCATATAAGAAGCATTGGGGCTTTAATTTAGTACAAGAGGATCCTCCTGCTTCACTGTCTTTTTTTTCCTTTTTAATCAAAGGCTTCAGAGCCCTTATATAGGTGCTGTCTTGATCCGATTTAGTGTGCAGTGTTTTGAATACATTAGTTAAAACTTGAGGCTTACCTTAGAATTCAGAAGACCTAGCCAGTGGTGGGAATGGAGAAAAAAACTTGCTATAGTTAAAGGTATTTTTAATTAGAGAGAACTGGTGTATCGGTTTTTCTGATTTTGCTTTGGAGTTTTCAATGCCTATATTTTCCATCTTGCAAAAATGTACATTTATTGAACAGCATTATTCAGGAGAGGGCCTCTATGTGCATGGACTAATTTTACAGCCTAGTTTCTACTGGTAAAGATCTCCTTGGCTTATTACGGTCAACACCAGCTCCATATCCACGTGTTGGGGTTGATAATCAGTTTTCTGCAAGACGTATTATAGTAGTGACGCATTAGCAGCTGAACGAGGTGTCTTTAGCTGAAGTACTGTGAGTTATTAGGCATTCCTGCTGGGATTACGCAGCCCTCCTCAAATAGGCAGAATTCATTGTGCTGGGATTAGAACCGATATCTGAGTGCATGCCTCATGTTTCTCTTATAGGTCCACGCTTCACGCAGCAACACTATGTCCATCGCAGGGGGCTTTGCACATATGGTTCGTGAAGGAGGCTTCCGCTCACTGTGGCGGGGAAACGGCATTAATGTCATTAAAATTGCTCCAGAATCTGCTATTAAGTTCATGGCTTATGAGCAGGTGAGTTTGTCATGATCTGGTCCTGTGTAATAATGCTGGCAGAATATTATAGGTGGATGCAGACTGTTTTTGAGTCAGTTTTTTTTTTTTTTTTTTTTTTTTGTGTGTGTGTGTAGACTTGAACATTATTCCAATGAAAGAAAATTGGGCTGCCTCGCCTAGTGTTTACTGTTAAAAAGCAACGTATATTTAAAGCACACTTTAAAAACTCACATGGTGCACAATTTACCAGTACCCATACAAAGGAATTACTGGCTGTATTCTGCTAATCACTGGTATATTGTCCACAGAGCAATGTAAGGTTTTTAAAGATAAAAAGCTTGGTTTGTAACAGCACTGAGAAGTATGGTTTATATTTTGTAGCACATCCCTAATGCACATATGATGTAAACAGACCTTTTAAGCGGGGTGATTGCTTCTTAAAGGGGCAGAGGCTGTTATAGATCTTTTTGCATATTACTGTCAACAATCAGAGAGATGAGGGCACATCTATGTGGGTGTGTGATCACGTGGTGGAGCACTGAGTTGGGTTGCAGTGAATGATTGCGAATTAAATGAAAATGTGAGTTTCACATTTTAACTTTATATATTTTTTTCAGCGAGAAGGACAACATTTAATGTGTTGTGGTTTTTTTTTTTTTTTTTGTTTTCCCCCACACAAACCAGGTGGAGGAATACTTAATATGTGTATTGGTAATATTTTAGTTTTTACTTTTGAATGGTGTGTGAACTTATTAGAGTGCTGTCAAGCTGCGATCTAAGGGTTACTATTGAAGGTGTGGCAGCGCAGGAGACTACAAAGGCTGTTTTTTTTGTTTTTGTTTTTTTTTTTTTCTTTACTTTATTGACCCTAACTTGTCTCTAACTTGCTTTCTGCAGATTAAACGTGTCATTGGGAGTGACCAGGAGACCTTGGGTATTCGTGAGAGGTTGGTGGCTGGGTCTCTAGCAGGAGTGATTGCTCAGAGCAGTATATACCCCATGGAGGTGAGGATATGAGCTGCTGGAATTGTGATTCAACCTGTGGTTGTGAAGTTGGTCCTTTAATAAATTTTTCTTAATTGATGCAGGTTTTGAAAACAAGGATGGCTCTGAGGAAGACTGGACAATATCAAGGGATGTTAGACTGTGGCAAAAAGATTTTGCTGAAGGAAGGGGTGTCTGCCTTCTACAAGGGATATGTACCCAACATGCTTGGGATTATTCCTTATGCTGGCATTGACTTAGCAGTGTATGAGGTAAGCTACCAAGGTCCTATATTTAGTGTTGCTTCATTTTAGACTTTGTACAGATGAATTGTGCAAAACTGAGCTTTGGATATTTGCGTAACAATATTGCTATGCATTGTATAATTGCCTGCAATTATAATGACCCTACTACTAGAAATGCCCAGCATTTCCCTTTGTTTAGTAATGTTAAAACACTTGCTTTTAATACTCTTCCTCAATTTAAACCCTGTCCAGACTGTGATATTGTGCGTAGAAGGTTTCTTATTCTAACCATTTTCTTCTTTCTTTCAAGACTCTGAAGAACGCATGGCTAAGTCGTTATGCCACAAGCAGTGCAGACCCTGGTGTCTTTGTATTACTTGCATGTGGAACCATGTCCAGTACATGTGGGCAGCTCGCCAGCTATCCCCTAGCTTTGGTCAGGACACGCATGCAGGCACAGGGTGAGTACACCTGTCGGTCAGATGGGATTTGTCGGTGTATCTCTGCATATGTCCAAACTGGCAACAGGCAATCTTCCTTTTTTTTTTTTTTTTTTTTTTTCTACCTTCCCTCCCCTCCTCTTTTACATGTAGTCTTTTGGCTGTAGTAAAATACTTGCATCACCTTGCAAACTAATAGTAACCACAGATTTGCGATTGATGGATGGCCAAGTGATTACCTCAGGACTGTGGATACCATTTTGGCTGGGGCTTCTCAAAAAAAAAAAAAAAGTGCAATAGAACAGGATAGGAAACCTTATATCCCATCCTGGATTTAGCATAAACTAAATAGAAGTAGCTGCCAAAGGCACTTTTTTTGTGTCTCTGACCTCTGTGTTTGAAATGTACATCTTCGGCTGGGAGATATCATACATGCACAACCAATTGCCCTCTGGTGTTTAAGGGCACCCTAAAGGATCTTTTCTTTCTGACCCAGACCTTTTTTCATTTCAAGGGGCCTCTTGATCACTGCAAATTTCTTTAAAAGGCTTTTGTCCGTTCTCTACATCTGCACAATTAAGTTACATGCAATATGTAGAAATGGCTTCTTCAGAGGTCATATTTATGTTTGGAAATATGTCGTTTTTACATTGCTTATACATGCAGTGTAAGGAAATCATGTTTTGAATTGCAGTGTGTGACAAGCTGTCTTCGTTCTGTGCACTAACCAGTTTATTTATTTTCCTGCAGCTTCCATTGAAGGAGCTCCACAGGCGACTATGAGCAGTCTCTTCAAACATATCATACACACAGAAGGACCTATTGGACTTTACCGGGGCCTGGCCCCTAATTTCATGAAGGTGATCCCTGCCGTCAGCATCAGCTACGTTGTGTATGAAAACCTAAAGCTCACGCTGGGTGTGACATCACGGTGATAAGAAGCGGATGTCATGCTGTTGCTGGACATTAGACTGCATTCTGGGGTGTGACTCCCTGGATGTTAAGTTTCCTGTCTTCATTCTGTGAATGTGTTTAACACTAAAAGCAACGGAGTAAAGCTGTGACAAACTCAGAACAGAAGAATGAGAGACTTGGCCTCTGTGTGCTAGGAACTCTTCACCTAACCGACGATTGGTCTCATTCCATGCCCCTTGCTTAGGGGGGGGACCAGTAGCATCTTCCAAGCTGGAACTGTGTTTACATTTTTATTTTATTTTTTTACACTCTGCTCATTTTATGTATTGAGCTCATGATGTGGCAGCATGTGTTCTCTGAATGTACTTAATACTAAATATGTCTTGCAGCATGCATATCAACAGTGCTATTGCTGAGGCAGCAGCCAGAGATGAGGACAGTATAATGCTATGCTGGGCTGCTGATTCTCTTGTACAGGCTCCATCAGTTCACTGAGAGGCCCGGACAGCTGACAAACACAAGGAATCTGATTGTGGACAGGGACGGGTTACGCCCTCTGTGCGCCGACACAGAGGGAAAATTAACTGGAACCAATCCACCTATGTGGTCGTCCCTGCAGCAGCTGAAAGCAAGTTTCTCCTCTCTCTTAAGCTTTCAGCTGCTGCAAGAAGAACCAAACAGGTGGCTTTGTATCAAATTTACCATCCCCTTCCTTTTCTGAATGAACACAGTGAGTGATTGGAACAGATTCACTGTCTTCATTTATAACCAAAGTATTATAAACTGGGGGTGCCTGTCAGGTAAGGCTGTATGGGGTCCTGTGAATATGAACAGCAGCGCTGACTCTATGTATATGTAACTCAACACAAGGTTATATGTTATGCTGCCTTGCTGTATTGCAGTCAAGTTTTGTGTTGTGCAGCCAGTTTGCAATCTGACCCAAAAACCAGGCAGCCAATTCTCTTCAATCAGAACGTTCTACTGAGTTGTCTGTAATTTGACTAGCTGAGGCTCACCAGCGACTGCTCTGCTTATAAAATTGGCACCTCAACAGGTCACTATCCTGCTAAGACTCACCTCTGGCTTCTTAGCTGCCTCACAACTGTTATATGATTTACTTTAGTAAAGTAACCTAGCAGCAGCACAATGTCTTAAAGATTTTTGCAAATGCTGTTGTCCCACACAAGACTATAGTCTGTGTCCATCCAGGACAGTGTTTGCTTGCACATTCCTGTTTTTTTTTTTTTTTTTTTTTTTTTTCTTTCTTCTGTGGTTTTAACTGCGTGTATATTTATTATATATTTATTTAAATGAAAATAACTGATATTTTTACAGATGTTTAATTATAGCTATAGTGTTTTGGCCTTTTCTTAATTTGACTAACTTGTGTTCTTTTTGCTGAGTATACAAGTGTCAGACCATACAGTAAGTAGTTTAGGTACTTTGTTCAAGTACATACAGTCACCTCTGCCCGGGTCTTTAAGTTCTCACCTAAGAGCCACTCCTTTTGTGAACCGTGGACTCTAATCTGTCAGGAGGGGAAGCAGCTGGTGATCACATTTCAAAGTCAGTGGTTGTTAGTAGGTTTTGAGGTCATTGGGAGCAAAGGAAATGTTTCCTGGATTCTCAGATAAGCAATCTGTTCAGACCTCTTAAAGAAAATTTGCACTTTAAATGGGATGTTATGAGAATAGAGTGGTTTGGTGCTTTATACACATTTCCCCCCCCCCCCCCCCCCCCCCCCCCCCCCCCCCCCTTTTTTTTTTTTTTTTTTTTTTTTTTTCTCTTTTATGGTTTGGTCCACTTAAATATTTTGGTTTGTCTAGGTGCCAGTGTCAAGTCCTCCATCTTTAGCTTGGGGTCTCCATTGGTGTCATTTGTATCTCCTTGAGCTCCCTGCTATGTCCACTGGCTAGTCCTATGACAAGGGGACATAAATTCTTGCTGTAAATTTTATTTTGGGCTATGCCAAAGGCAAAGCAAGACAAACGTCTATTACAGCAGGAGACTTTATTCAATCATGGCTTCAGAGATAGAATAGAAACAAGAAGTGGATATATTATATTATTAAAGTACACTTTTTATTAAGTAGGGTATACATGTAGAGGGATTTTTTTTTTTTTATTTTTTTTAGCCAGCAGGTTGAGCAAAAAACTCCAGATCCCTTCATCCACACAAGTGACCTGTGCAAAGATTTCTCCTGCAGCACTATTTTATTCTGATGCCATCACCACCCACCCTGTAATAATACACAGATCAGGACTGCAAATGCGAATAGGTCATGCTTGAAAGCCAGCATTCATTTGACAGAAGCTGGCCTGACAACCGGTTCCTGATGCACAGAGAGAAAAGAAAGCAAATGCATAGAACTTGTAACACAGGTCAACATAGTATAGCAGTTCAAAACAGTATTGTAGCAGCCAATGCTATATAGGATCGTATGCCAGATTAGGAAACTTGCCTAATGAGCCCATACAATGAAAGTGGCCTCGATTCCAACCTATATGTGTTATGTTAGGAAAGTATTTACCAAAAACAAAAATAGTTGTTCTATCCCTTTTTTAAATATAATTTGGTGACAAACATTACTACTGCAGTGATCAAGTGCATTAAACTCTATGGATGAAAAAATTTGTGTCATTTTGTGAAAAATCAAATGCTGACATTCCACTCTGTAATCTTCAGTGCTTCAATGCAACTATTTTACTAGATGATTTGCTACTATGGTCAAGAGTTTGTGTACGTATGTGCCCCAGAATCACCAGGCACCCTCCAAACATGGGTATCATCCCCCTCGAACTACTGTAGCATTAGACCATGGCAGCTGTCAACCCAGGCAGTGTGTTCCTTTTAAAGGTGATGTCACAAGTGCCCCCGCCAATCAGTTACGGCATGGCCCCAAATGACATGGAGAAAAAAAGTGTTATAATGCATTAACTGTCCAATATTGCATTAATGTAGCAATTCTACAAACAAAGTAAAAATGCACTGCTCAACTGTGTGTGAGGACATCACTACAAATACCCTGTCTGACGGGTTTCCTCATATTGGATGTCTTCAGGGGACAGGAACTGCTGATGGGGAAAACCTCATTGTGCCTGATGAGTTTACGCTGGAGAAGAAACAAACTGGAATGTGGCGGAGGCATCTTGTTGCCGGTGGCGGGCCTCGCACTGTGTTGTGGACATATGGTTTCCCAGATCTGCTGAAAGCTGTCACGTAGCTTAGTTTTTGGGGCAATAATACCAGATATGTAGGTATTTGGATGCAGCACTTTTTTTTTTTCTGAGGTGAAATGTTCAGTATTGATTGATGAGGCAATCTCTACCACAACTTTCATTGCATTGCATTCACAAGGGCCAGGATAATTGTGTAATCACTTGCAGATCAATGGAGCAATGCTGAACTTTTGTTCTACAGATTATGAATGGCATCTGGCTTTTTTAGCTCACTGTGTGCCGTAGAATAGTACAGGTTCTTTGGCATGCAGCCATTCAGGGTTGAAATGTGTGTTAAAAGGTCATCTGAGAAGCTCTGGGCACCAGTCATTTTAGTGCAATAGGGATCCTTCTTCACCATTATTCTTTTTTAGTCTAAAAGGTTTCAGAGACCTTTATGTAGGTGCTGTCCTCATGTGACAGCTGATTTATTGTGCTGTGGGCTAAATACATAAGTTATTTAAAACTTTTTAGCTTTCCTTTTTAGAAATAAAGCTGACGTCAGCCAATGATGAGAATGGAGAAAATGTGCTGTAATTAAGGCCCCTTACACACAAAGGTTCTGATTGGGTTTGCCTGTCTATTTTCAGGTGGGCCTGATCACAATCTCCATTCTCCTCTATGAAGCAGTGTTTGTAAACAGATGGATATGTGTCTGTTTACGCCTACCTACATTCGACTTGATAAAGACAGGGATCTGTTCCCCTGCCGGCCAGCGAATTGGATTGAATGGCAGTTGGGTGTAAACGGACAGGCAGTCTGTTCAAATCAGACTGCCCATAGAGAACAGGATGTAGACCGGGCATCAGCCTGCTCAGCGGGGGATCAGCTGACCGATTCCCTGCTGAGCAAGTGTAGTCCACCTTGTGTGAAAGGGGCCTAAAAGCATTTTTCAATTAGTAGAGAAATTTTGTGTACCTTTTTCTAATTTGTAGTTCTGTTTACAGCATTTATTTTCCATCTTGCAAAAGCGGCACATTTCTTGAACCGTATTCGCTTAGAAGAGTATCTTACTATATGCATGGACTATATACTGTATAGCTTCTGCTGGTAATGATCTGTCAGCTTATTGCAGTCAATGCCAGCTCCAGGTCCATGTTTTGTACTTGTTGTTTTCTGAAAGATTTATTATGGCAGCGGCATATTGCCACATTTCTGCTGCTATTAGAGTTATCCACAACCACATAGAAACCATTTGTGCTGGGTTTAGAAGCAATTACTGAGCGCATGCCTCATGTTTTCTCTTGCTGGTCCACATAGCAACACAATCTACATCACGGGTCTCTGTGCAGATGGTTTACAAGGAAGGTTGCCGCTCACTGTGGCAGGGAAATGTCATTAAAATTGCTCTGTGGGTTTGTCACAATATGCTCCTGTGTTATACTAAGAGTATATTGTATACTGAAAGAAGGAGCTCTTGGATTGTATTGGGGCCTGGCCACCAAAGTCATGAAGGTGATCCCAGCTGTCCATAGCAGCTACATTGTGTATGAGAACCTAAAGTTCACACTGGGCGTGATGTTGCAGTGTCAAGAAGCAGATATGCTGTTGGATTTCAGGCTGCATTTTTGGGGTGTAATTTTGCAGGATAGTAAGTGTCCCATCTGTGAATTTGTTTAACATTTCATCGTGCACAATCGAGCTGCATGGTTTACTCTAAGTGCAGTTTTACCTTTTTATTGTTAGTGTCTTTTTACTACATTAAAGCAATTTTGGAAAAAGTTAATGCACTATAGCACCTTTGTTATTCTCCAAACTGCTATTGTGATTGGTGGGGACACTGGTGACATCACCCTTAAAGG